ATCTTCATCCTCGTTCTTCCCCTTTTTCGAACTACGGGGTGTCGAAGGGCCTTTCTCCGTGTTTTTACTCTTATGAGCTTTGACAACCTTGAACACCTGCCGAAGATATGTAAGTTGATCATTGGCCTTATTGGCACGTTCTTCCCACTCTTAAATTTGATGTTTCTCCCACTTCGTAGACACGACATAAGGGGTTGGCTCCATCTTGGTCTTGGGAGTGACTCTTGATAGTGCGCGCCAACAAGACCATCAGGAACACCAACATGAACATTGATCAAATCAAGAGAGCAATCAATGACTCGATTTCGAAGAAAGACCTTATGAAAACGGGGACTCTCAAGAATAAACGCAACAAGAGTTAGACTTGCATAAAATTTCCTAACAGCTTGGCCACAAAAGGTTTGAAACTCGGACACAATAGAGGACAGATCAACATTGGCAATAAGATCCAAGACACTAAATTTTTCAGGACGTTCACGCATGAATTGATAAGAAGTGAAAGTAGTAAAATGATTCTGGGCAGATTGAGTATAAAACCTATTAGAGAAAGCATTGGTATGATCACACTCGTCATCTTCAGGTTCTTTCTCCTCAGGAACCTTGTCCATCGGTTCCTTCACACGACGTCTAGTTGAACGTCGAACAGTAGCCCTTGATGGAGGTGTAGGTTGATCATAAAGCACCTCAACAACTGGCTCAACAGACGGAGATCCTGCGCAAATAAAGATACTGCGCGAACAGATCCCGCTTCGCCCTTGACTGTTTAATTGATAATTATATTACAAAACAATCTCAAATATGGATATGGTATTTGGGATATGGTGAAATTGACAAGAAGATAGTTGATGTAATAACTTAAAAAAAAAAAAAGGTTGGGACTGTGAGAGTGTTCTTTTTATAAATAAATTAAATTCATACTCAAATTCCAATTCAACCTTAATACAAAACATTGTTTTTGATATTATAAATATAATTAGATAATACTAATAAATTATTCATACACATCATATCAACTTTAATTCACTATTCATCCAATCACATAATCTTTTTCTTTTTGCCAAAACGATAGAGAATATTATAATCAAAAGGCACAAATGTGCAAATATAATCCATAGCTGCCTAAGACAGCTACCAACTAAAATCTGAGAGGACAGGTCAGGAGACCACCTAGAACCACAACTAGCCAAGGTAGAGTAAAAATAGACTCAAAACACTACTAATAACTAAAATCGCTCCCCACAAGAGAATAGGATCAACCCCCACGGGGTAATCAACACATGGGCCAACGGCCCCGACCAAAAAGACAATACATAAAATACTCAGGCAAAGAGCCCAGACCAAAAACACTAAACTAAGACAGACTCAAGCAATCGACACCAAAAAATAAAAACAAAAGACAAAACATGGCCCTTCCCTAGCCGAAAACCACATCGAGCACAACAACGGCAAAGTCTCAGCCTAGGATCCCTACCCAGAAACTGCGAGATAACGCCTAACTAAGTCAAGAACCAACAGACCTAACCTTCGTCCAGACAAACAACTCCACTGCCACCCGGATACAAATGTTCCAGTCCAACCAGCCCGGCCTAGCCCAGACAGACCCGGCTCAACCCAGCCCAATGCAGCGCAAGCCTGCCCTGCCCAACCCGAACCAAACCAGCTCTGCCAAGCCCAACCCAGCCAAACAAGCACAGAAGCCCGACCCTCCAATCTTAGGCGACCGCGGCACCAAAGCTACACACCACCCAACCGGCGACCACGAGGCCAAGGATCGGCGCCCACCCTAGAAACGGAGACCACCGAGGCTCCAACGCTCTGCACCTGGACCAGAAGGAGCCAATTGACTGGAACTCGATCTCCCCCCCCGAACCAGAAAACGGGAAATTGGGGTTGCAACTCTCTCCGAGAGAGCGCCAGGAGCCGCCGCAGCGGAGGTACCGGAGGAGAACGCCCATTGCATGCTTCCGGCACCAAGCTGAAGACCGGAAGACGACACAAGCTTCTCACCGGCGAAAAAGCCCCCTCCATCAGTAGCTCTCGGAGGCGAACTGCAGGGCCCAGAGGAGCAGCCGCCGCGCGCTCGAAGTGCCCTACCGGGGAAGGCGACGGAGGAAAACGGAGGTTGATGTTGCGGGAGGAAGGGGATGCGGGAAGAAGGCGATGCGCTCGATTTTGGGTGCTTTTTAAAATTATTCAATTAATCACATAATCTTAACTAACCATTGTTTTACATAATCTATTTCCTAGTTTTGCATTAACTCAACTTTAATTATTCTTTAAAATTTCAACATTTGATATATTTGTATGTTATTCTCAACCATGATAATTTTTGTATCATTGTTTTTTGATTTGTTTATATAATACATTAATTGTAAAATATATTTTTATTGCATAGTATGTTATATAAATTATAAAGTCTTATGATTAAAATTAGAAAATCTTTTGATTATGTAAAATGATTAATTTTATGCAATTGCTAAATCATTTTTTTAATTATTATGAAAAAATTGACTTCTAAAAAAATGTGTCTATTTTGTAACATTTATACATAATATTTTATTACATAAATTAATAAAAAGAAAACTACTTTTATAACTTTTATAAATAATAATAATGACATTATGACAACAAACTTTATAATAAAATAATAATTGAATATTGTATGATGAATAAGAATAAATAAATTTTTTATTTTTTTATATTAGTGAATAAATATATATTCTAAAATTAAATGTATATTAATATAACGTGTTACCAGAATAATATATTAATTAATATCTTCACGTATTGACTATAATAAATGCCTAAAAGGATGATTGTTTATAAATTGAATAGTAAAAAAACCAATTAAAACTCAAATTTAATTCAACTCACTATCTTTAATATTATCAATATAATTAAATAATATCAACCAATCATTATTACACATCACATCAACTTTAATTCGCTATTCATCTACTCACATAACTCTAAGAGCATCCACAATGCTTTGGGTCTCTTTTTGCATATGTGGCAAATAAATAGACTTAAGTCCATAATGACATGGACAAACCTAAACTAAAAAAACCAAAATCTATCCAATGCAAAACAAAAAAGTACTAGGTCTAGAATACATGACAACCAATAAAAATGCTCTAGTATATTTCATTTATTAAAAGAAAAATTAAATGAGGAATAAATGATGAGTGCTTGGGTTTGTACTTGGGTCTAAAATAGACCCAAGTGTGGACTAGGTCTCATTTTTTTATTGCCACATAAGCTAGACTAGGTCCACTTTTAATTGCATTGGAGAACACTTTTTTATAGACTAGGTCTATTTCTTACATGGCATGTAATTTTTTTCTAAGAAACCCAAAGCATTGTGGGTGCTCTAACTAACTATCACTTCGAATCATTTTTTCAATATTTTACATCAAATTAACTTTAATTATTTTATTTAAATATATTTTAATCTATCCACTAACAACTAATCATAGCACATTTTTTTTTAAAATTATCTATAATTAAAAAACAACCAAATAAAAACCAATCCAATCCATAAACAATGCCACCCATGACTCGTTTATATCAAACACGCTATAAATATTTTTAAAACCAATTTTTCCAACAAAGAACAAGAAAAAGAGGCGTGAACGGACAAGGGTGAAGGGTATACCATGCCAATATGATGTCAACAGCTGGTCTGGTATTAGCCATCGGATCATATCAAATCGGGGAAAGGTGGATGGGCGCCCATCGAGCAGGAGGAACGAAGGTACAGGCGTCGGAGCGTGGTGGCTCATGAGGGATTTAAATTTGCGCGACTTGAATATCCATGGAGCTTCACATCCAGCTAGCCCAGGCCGTCCACGTCCTCAACCACGACACGCAGTCCTGTAACCGCGTCGCCGCTAATCAGTGGCTTGTTCAATTCCAGCACAGCGATGCCGCTTGGGAAATCGCCACCTCCATCCTCACATCCGACCACCAACACCTATTCCCTACGGGCTACGAGGTTGAGTTTTTCTCAGCTCAGATTCTCAAGAGAAAGGTCTCTCTCTGCGCCCTCTCTTTTATCCACTGCTATTTCACCAATGTAGCGTTTGTGTCTTATTTTGATTGAATTGCAGATTGAAAATGAAGGACATAATTTGCATTCTGCAGCCAAGGACACTCTTCTCAACGCTCTTCTTTTAGCTGCCAAAAGATTTTGTTCGGGCCCTTCTCAGGTGACTGGTGCCTTCAAATGCGATAGTTTGGTTATGCTGCTCTTCTCCAAAATGCATTTGCTGAAATTCCGTTTTTCTTTCCAAAACAGCTGCTAACCCAAATCTGTCTGGCCATCTCTACGCTCGTACTACATGCTGTAGAGCATCGAAAGCCAATTGAGCAGCTCTTCTACAGCCTGCGAAATTTACAAAGCCATGATAATGGAAACACGGCTGTTCTGGAAATGCTGACTGTCTTGCCTGAAATTGTAGAGGATCAAAATAGTAATTGCAGTATATCATCTGCTCGCCGCAATGAGTATGAACAAGAGGTTTTCCATTCCGTGATACAACTGCTAATGTCTACCGACTTTTTAATAATATTTTCGATGTTGTCTATCTGCTTACACTGAAGTACTTGTGCTAGTACAGCTTCTGACACATACTCCTATGGTACTTGAGTTTCTAATGAAGCAATTTGAGGAGGGCTTTGACCACCATGTTCAACCCCATGACAGGACCCGGAAGTTATTGCGGTGCTTGCTAAGCTGGGTATGTTTCAGTTAGTGCGTTTTGTTGTCTAACCTGGGATGTGACAATTCATTTCAACCTCCGCTCTAAGAGTGATCTCTTGATCTGCCCAAAAACAGGCGATGTTGCTACTCGCCAGTATTGCAATAACCAATAGACGTCATTGTATTTTCCTAAACCAGTAGATGTCTTTGTGTTCTCCCAAAAACATATGTATGGAACTTTGGGTAAAAAAAACACCACGCCTTAATAGTAATGCTAAATATTTAAACGTGATTAGTCTCATATTGTATACATTTTTCTCCGTTGCAGTTTTCTCCACTTCATTGATTGCCTTCAACTTGTTTATTCATTTCCATCAATTTGTTTTTTCTTATCTTCAGGTTCGAGCTGGTTGTTTTTTGGAGAGTCATCCTGCATCTTTGCCTGCCCATCCACTTTTCAACTTTGTTTTCAGTTCCTTACAGGTACTGTTTTTCCTATTTGGAACAGTGTTCATCTTTCTTCGAGAATGATCAGGAAAACAATTTTCAGTCCTTCTACTTGATTTTGTTAGGTTCCATCTTCATTTGATATGGCTGTTGAAGTTCTGATTGAGCTTCTGAGTCGACATGAGGTATACTCATATGCTAGTATGGATTATTCTACTTTTCAGTTTTTATATTAGATTTTATCTGTATAGTCAGTCATCGGAAAGAGCAAACTAATCTGATCAAGAGTCAATAAGGTCATCCGACCAAAAATCCTGCTATGGTATGCTGTTGTAATCCTGTAGGTCTTCTCTTATATTGATAAAAGTATAACACTAGAGATCACATGGCCTCTTGAAGACCATGGACTTTGTAAATTTGTCCAGCATTATTGTGTAATCAGTGGTGCTACCTAGTATCATAGGAATCTAACTCATTTATACCTACTAGTACAATACCCGTGCACTACATGGGTGTTTAATAAAATAATTAAATGTACAACGAAAAATGAAAAAAAATGTATATATTTTGTTGAGTTGGAATAAGTAAATAAAGAACAATATATAACAATTTATGATAAAGAACCAAGTGAATTAACAATATTATTTTAAATTCTGAAAACTCATTTTTATACCTCATTAGTTTTATTTATAATATTTTTATTTAAAACACATAGGAGAATAATATGGACAAAGCACAAAGTTTATGCTCATTATAGGAAGAAAGAAGATAATAATAGATTTATATAGAATAGTTTAAATGTATTAAATATGTGTATATATGGCAATCCAAACCTAAGCTATTGGTATAGAAAATTAGTAAATTTTATCTGAGCCATATTACAAAGCATGATGTTTTGCCACATAACGATTACGAAGCGTGCGGAGTTGCCACCTAGACTCAACACGTTCTGAATTTCTACATAAGGGGGATAGCCAGACTTCATTTCCTATTTGGATGGAAAAGTGGTGCTGCCTGGTATCTTTGGAATCTGACTAATTAGTAACTTATAAGGTGGCTTCATTTCCTATTTTGATAGTTTAGTTGTTTTGTAACATTTGCATCCTTATCAAGTTAGTCATAAGTTCCATTTGGGTTAGTGGTTACACAAGTGCTTTTTATTGACAGCAATGCAAAGGAGGGGCAATACTTACCCACACCTGCCTAACTGGGTATAATTATCAATTGAACAGTCAATATATATATATATATATATATTATATATATAAGGATGATTTATTTTTCAATAAACATAATTATTATGCATATATCATTTTATTTTTTATTCTATAAAATTTTAATGTATTTTTTTTATGGGTTTTGTTAGAACTTATGTTTGTCTCATATCGATCATCTTTTATTGTGAAGAAGTGTGGGTAGGACACCCTCTTCCTTTGAGCTAGCTTTTGGGAATGAGTTATACCCAGGCCCATTTATCATGGTATCATAGCACGTAGGTTTTGTATGTTTGGAGGGGATGTTTGGTAGTGAGCCTGGCCCATTTGGTTTGGCACGCTGTGCTTGAGAGCGGGTGTTAGAAGTTATATTGTCCCACATATCTCTTGTTTGACACTTCCAATCAATAGCAAGCCTATTTTGGATCAACCTCTTACTGTTACGGCTTTTGTAGGGGATAATAAACTTGTTCCAGAAGAAGTGGAATGGAAAATGCATGAATTTTGGATGTCCTGGGTGGTGCTACGGGCAGTTTGCTCCCATTGGCAGTTACTTAGTTTCCACATTGTAATCTCTTTAAAATTACTAGCAATAGGAACTCCACATTGGTTGTCTCATTCTGCCCAACAACTTCGGTCAGTTTATCCATTCCAGCTTTTGTTTATGCAGAAGAATATTAATTGGGACATTTTCCAGGCCATTGATACACATAATACCATCAAAGAGAGGAGTATCTCCAAACCAAATATCATGCTAAAAGCTAATTTGACAAGAACCAATCGACCAGGTTATTGAAGAGGGGATAAGGACTATTAGGGCTATTAATAGCAACGAAGAACGGTAGTGAAGAGCTCAGATTATGTGAAACCACACAACCAACCTATGTGTGGGAATAATATGCTAAATACAATAGAATCCTGGGAAATTTTCGTAATTGAACTACTCTTCTTGTCCTTGTTAAAATAACAAATAAAAAAAAACTTGCAAAAAATTGAATGTATACTTGTCCATCTTGATCATTGTAGTTAAAAGACATTATATTTTGATTTTATGTGCTTCCAAACTATTGTCATCTTCACCGCTGAAATTGTCATCAACTTCAATTATTGGCTGGCATTCAAAAGGAATCCAGCTTTGATTTTAATGCTTTCCTCATTTAAGCTTGTGTTTTTATTGGTTTGTTTCATTAAGTTTTTCGCTTTTTTTCCCTACTTGAGCTGGTGTCTAAATCAGTTCTATCTCAGAACAGTTGTGGTCACTGATTTTTTCTTGCTGAAAATAATAAGTCTCGTTTCCTCATGATCCAACTTTTGTTCAAGGATACAAAAAGAGAAAAGGTTTGGAAATTTTCTGGTGTAAGGGTGCTGGAGCTGATTGTCAACAGAATTTTGTTTGAGCAACTTTTGCTTTTGCTTTCCTAGGGTGTGCCACAGTTACTACTGTGCCGAATCGGCTTTCTCAAGGAAGTTCTTCTTTTTCCTGCTCTTAAAAGTGGAAATGAGAAAGTAATAGCAGGGCTTGCGTGCTTGATGTCAGAAATTGGACAAGCAGTGAGTATCTATATCTATCTAAAATAAATTGGATTGCTACTTTCCACCTCGTGCTGTATCTTTGCTATATGAATCATGTCATTTATTGTTGTTCTTGTTGTTGTTGTTATTATTGTTATTCTTATTATTACTTCTACTAGTCCCACCACCACCACCACTACTACTACAACTACTAATACTACTTTCCATTTAACCATTGGAGTTCAAATAATCAGTCTGTTTGTCTGCTAGGCACTCTTTATGATTGTGGATGCAAACATGGAAGCACTTGCACTAGCAGATGCCCTTTTGAGGTGGATCTCTTGTTTTCTTTTTTGACCTTTTATAATCCCATGTTACTTAGGTTCTTCATCATTTTACAACCCTTAAAATTTTCATCATTTTTTAACCCATTTGTTAGTTTATTTTTGTTTTTCTTCTTCTTTCCTTTCCTTAAAGAAAAAAAATTTAAGATATTGTATGTGTTGCACTTTGCAGCTGTGTATCATTTCCAAGTGAAGATTGGGAGATTGCTGACTCAACTTTGCAGTTTTGGTAACTTAATGCTATTTATTTGCTCAGTTAAATCTTGCAAAAATGTTGGTTTCATTTTTCATCTTCTAGTTAGTGTGTGTACATTATGTCCGAGCCCTTATAATTTTTTCTGTTTCCTATGTACTAGGTGTAGCCTTGCTGGTTACATTCTAGGGCTTGAAGTGGATAATGCTGATAAAAGGAAAGGTTTGGAGGACCGCTTTGTTCCTATTTTTTCAGCATTGGTTGATGCTCTTATGTTGCGGGTTCAGGTCTGTTGTTAATATGTGAACTATACACAGGACAGCTCTGTCCATATTTTTCAAAATTATGATTTGTCTTTTATTACATCTTTATGTCTCAATACTTAATTGTTTTTGCAGGTTGATGATTCCATGTATAATGATAATGGGAAAACACTTGACTTTCCCAGTGGTCTCGAACAATTTAGGATGAATTTAGTTGAACTTTTGGTGGAAACTTGTCAGCTTTTGGGATCAGTTCTGTTTATTGAGAAGGTGACGAGAACATCATTTTGGAACATATACCTGCTTGGCTAAATTCTTTTGTTGACTGAAAATGTTGAGTGATATCTTTTAACAGGGGTTAAGCCCTTCAGTAAATAAATACACCTGCATGCACATAGCTACGCTGCATATAAGTTGCCACTTAGTGTAGCTTTAGAATGTGCAAACTGAACATTGAAAATTCTGATATAGTACCTCGTAGTGCTGCAAATGATGCGTTCTGCCTTCATTTTTCATCTGTCTGCTTATCACTTACCTGTTAGGGCTCTTTATAAGCTTATGGCGATTGGAGAATCTTTTGCCTTCCTGCATATTCAAAATTTTCATTATCTTTTTAGCAAATTTTGATGGTGTCAAATTCACATACATGGTAACTTCTTATCAGCAAACATGCTCACATCAAGTATGCTGTACCAGAAATGTGAGAGAGTGAACTAGAGATGGAGGGGGATGTCATTCAATTTTGTTGTTTATCCCGATACTCTGTAAACTGCTAGAAACCAAACATCGAATTCTGAAATAGGAAATAGACTTGATTGGTTATATTATTTTGCACATGCATCATTCTGGAATCACAATTTTCTGTTTCAAGACTTTTCTTGATTCAATGATCAGTTTTCTAGGGACAGTATTAAAACCTTTAGTTGGACTAGATCTTGTCAGAATTAAAATGTGAACAAGCTGCCATTTTTCAAATTTATCTGCTACACTGTAAAGGAGTTGTTGAAGGAAGAATATTACCAGGGTTTGACTTGCCTCAAAACCTTTTGTAAATGTCAGTCGTGGTTTAAATTAATGAGGCACGTTCAATTTTAATATAATAATCCATTTGCTTATCCAAGAACATAATCTGTGGTTGCATGGTGAAGTGAATTACTGCTCCCTTTCAATTTATAGGCATCAGATCCAGGAACCATGAATAGTCCTGAACTAGTTTCGTAGCTAGCATTGTTGATGCTGCTGCGACTTACGAGTTATCGAGTAATTATGAAACAAAAAATGAAAGTCCACTTCCTATTCAGTTTTATTCTAGCTTAACTTTCTCCATTACCAGGTCTTCCTTGGAAATTGGATATTGTCTGTAACAGATATTTGTTGGAAAGTGGTAGAAGCCAAGTTATTCATGCTTAATGCGGTGAGTGAATTGAATAACATCCCTGCAGAACTTTTATTTTCTTGTGTTGCCAGCATAATTTTCCAGCAAAGGTCTATATTTTTGTTAAATTGGATGCTTACTTACTCATCAATTTCTCAATGAGTTTCTCTTAGGTTGCTGACGTTGTTCTAAAGGAGGGTCATCATTTTGATAACTCTATTATTATGCAATTGGTGATGATTTTGTCCAACAAGACACCCGCTGAACTTCCGGGATTTATGTGCCTTGTATGTTGTTTAGACCTTTCATATTCTTGTAGTGGCAATTTCTCATTTTAATTGGCTGAACAAAGAAATTGGAATAACGACTATTCTTAGGTCCAGTTTTGAAGTAACATCAACATCAATATAGCAGTAAGCAACTTTAACTAATAAATATTATCTCGAATGCTATCCTCCCTAGGTATACAAATCACTTGCAGAGGTTATTGGATCCTATGCTAGGTGGATGTCTGCCTCTGAGACAAACACGAGACTGTTGATGTAAATGCTTCTTTGGCTATCCTTTCCTACACATTAATTTTAATTTCTATAATTTGTGTGTTCGGCTGTTATTTCAGATTATTCTTTGGTGGTGGTATTCCTCAACCATTTTGTTCAAGTGCTTGTGCTTATGCATTTCGTAAATTTTGTGAAGAATCCACTCCCATGATGCATGAACCGTCCAATTTGGAAATCTTAATTTGGATAGCAGAGGTCAGTGTTATGGATATTTAATAAATGCATTAGGTTTTTATGGTGTTGGCTACTGTTGTCCTGCTCAATATATGTTGTGAAGCTTTTAACAGAGGATTGACGAGAAAAAGGACTTTTTAAATCAGGAAATCAAATTTTATTTCATTATCCCTATAGAGAACTGAAAGCTGTAAGAAGGAAATATTTGAATAGAAGTTTCAAGTCCATGGAGGGTATATGTACTTTTATATCTGGCTTAGCAAACCAGTCTGCCATGTGGGCACAAAGACATTCTATTTCATGTTGTAGTAACAGCCGAAAGAAACTGCTGTTAGGGGTTGGAACGCAGGAGGTTACCCTTGGAGGATGAGGACGAAGTAGTTGGTGCCATCATCCTGATATTCTGTTCTGTCCCTGACAAGAAGCTGATGAATAGCTTGTTTGCTAGATTGCTTTCTCCATCGTATGAAATTATTGGAAAACTTGTAAGTGTTATCTGATTTTTTATTTTTGAAGAATATTTCTGGGCATCTAAGCAGAATTGTTTCATGCTCGTTTTTTTTTTTTTTTTTTTTT